CGGGGGGGTGGAAGGGGGGGTAGGGGCTGTGGATAGGGCTGCCTGCGGCAGGAGGCCGGGCTCAGCGCTGCCCCCGGGGCTTGGCGCGTCCCCCCCGCCGCGTCCCCCCGCCGCGCCTCACCCGCCTTCTCGCTGGCGAACTCCCGCAGGTTGAGCTGCTGCAGGGGAAAGTCCACGAAGACGGAGCACTTCTTGATGGAGTAGCGGGTGGTGGAGAACCGGTTCAGGTCTGGGCAGCGTCAAGGGAAACACGGCCCCGAGAGGCTGGAGGGGCGGCACCCCGCTCTCTGGGACACCCCCGCACCCCTCACCATGAGCACTGGCAGCGCCGGGGGTCCCAGGCCCCTCCCCTGGCCCCCCACCCTCTGGTCCCCAAAGGATACGGAGCACCAGAATGCGGGGGAAGCGCTGGATTGTCAGCTTCTTCGTGCTCCGCGTCCGCTGCCGGCACTTGTCGCAGACCTGCTGGCGGCATGGCGCCAGTGAGAGGGGGCCGGGGGTGCCAAACGCAGGGTGCCAAGCCACCAGCCCCAGCCTCTTACCGGGGCGTTCTCCGAGTCCAGCTCCTCCTCCTTGGTGAAGAGGCTGAAGCAGTCGTGGAGCGAGACCTTCCCACCAGCAAAGCTCTTCTGCGGGGGGAGAGGGTCAGGCGGGGGGCTGGGGGTGGCCAGGGGGTGGCCGGGGGGGTTCTGCCCCATCCTTACCTTTGGGATGGGCAGGGAGAGATCGCAGAAGACCTCAAAGGTGGTGGAGCGGTAGCCGCACGCCTGGCACTTCAGGCAGCTCTTCAGCTGCCCCACGAAGAGATCTGGGGGCGAGGGCGGGGTGTGAGGCCAGGCAGAGAGGGGCACCCCGAGGGGCCTGGGGGGGTCACCCCCACCCCTCAGCGCTCACCCACGATCTTGCTGTCCTCCCTCTCCAGGTATCGCTTCCACATCTGGTTGGCGCGTTCATCGTCGCTGTGGGGAAAAGCGGCGGGTCGGGCTGCATCCCCACGGCCAGAACCCCCCCTCGGGACCCCTCTCCCCCTCACCTCAGTGTCTCAGGGTCCTCCAGTGCGGGGGTCCGCCGAGCATCCGAGAGGATGCTGGGGGTCCTGCGGCCCTTGCGGTTGATCTCCACATGCAGCCGGTCCATGAAGAACTTGAGGAACTCCTGCGCGTCCTGCTGGCTGCGGTGGGATGGAGCCGTGGCGCCCACCGCTGCCCCTGGCCCCCCCAGAGGCAAGGGAGCTGCGAGGGTCCCCTGGGGCCGGGAGGGGCGAAGCCTCACCTGTATCCGGTGAAGGAGGGAACGTATTTCTGAAAGACAGCCTTGAAGCGCCCAGGGTTGACGGCCTCAGAGGAGTCGGGGTGCCAGAGGGCGGCGATGACATCGGCGAAGGCTGCAGGGACGCAGGACATGCTGGGTGTCAGCACCAGCAGGGCTTATGTAAGACCTGAGGGGGATTAGCTGCGGGGGGCTCCCGTCCCACCTTCGGTGAGCTCCTGGGGGGCGCGGGGGCCGGGGGGCTGCTCCTGCTGGAAGTCCCGGCGCAGGCAGTAGTCCCGCAGCGGCTTGGTACTGCTCAAGCACTGCAGCACAGCGTTCATGAAGCACTGTGGAGAGAGCGGTGGGGACGTGGTGATGCCCTGGCAAGGGGGGTCACTGGGCCTTGGCATGTCCCCCACTGTCTCCTTGCCCCCCTGGCCGCACCCTGCTGTGCTGTGGGGACCCCCAAGGCGCTGGGGGATCCCTGGGGATGCGCCGGCCCCCGCAGGAGGGAACCACTTGGTTACGGCCAATGCAAGCCCAGGGGGACCCCGGGTCCCTTGGATGCCCCAGGACAGAGGGGTGGGTGGGCTCGGGGGACGCGGGCGCTTACCGTGTTGCCCAGGTTCCTGAGGCCGACGTGGCCTGAGCCCAGCAGCAAGGTGTGATGGGTCTGCGGGGACAGAAAGGAACAGCAGTGAGACCTGTCCCTACGCAGCAAAGCCCTCCGGCCACCCCTCGGCTTCCTACGGACAGGCAGACAGACAGCCCTCCAGCCCTGGAGGCTTCACCTCGCCGCTGACGAGCAGCAGCCCCATGACGGCTGTGTGTACCACCGACTCGGAGATGTCAGCGCCGCGGCCCTGCAGCTCCCGCTTGGTGAGCAGGGTGCGGTGCAGCTTGCGTGGCAGCTCCACCAGCGTGGCTCCCTGCAACCCCGGCATGGCTCCGGCACCACCCGGGCACCAGGACGGGACTGCGGCACCGGCGTCGCTGGGCCCTCTCCGCCTCTCTAAGCCACAGCTCATTAGCTGATCCGATTTCCCCTGGCTATTCTGGGCCTTGCTGGAGGCTCATCTCGGGGGGATTAATTAGCGGGAGAGCCACCTTGGGGACAGTGAGTGCCTGGGGAATGGGGAGCAGAGGCAAACACGCCCGCCTGCCCCATGCTGCACCGTCAAGGTGCGGGAGAGCAGGGCCGGGGGCAGCCCCCGTGCCACCGGTGGGGGATGCGCTGCAAGGACCCAAGCTGCGTCCCCGTGCCCGGCCCCGGGATTCCAGGGCACCTAATCCCTACATGTGGCCCAGGGCGAGTGGAGGACAAGGGACAGCTGCTCCGTGGGAGAAGGCGGATGCGGAAACAGGCATGGTACCGGGCAGCCCCCAGCACCACCGGAGCCGAGGGGACTCGACCCTTTCGAAGCAGGGGTCCCCCAGGAGGAACAGAGCGGGGAGAGGTGAGACCAGCACCACTGTCCCACCCCAGCGGCGTCACCAACCCCGATGGGAGCGAAGCTGCTGCTCCATGACCGGGGGCAACATGGGAGCAAGGGCAAGTCCCACCAGTGGGACAAATCCTGAGGCTCTTACGGCTGCTGCCTTCTCCTCGGTCCTGCCGGGTGCCGGGGCTCGGCCCACGGCGGGGCTGCCAGGCGCCAGAACGCTGGGGCTGTGGGTGTACGGGGAGTCGGGGGCAGTACGAGTCCTCGGGCAGCCCTCGGGCCGGACGGAGAGCAGCGGGGCAGTGGGCTTCCCATCCAGCCCTGGGGAGACGTTGACCCTCCGGAGAGAGGAGCTCCTCCTGAGCGCCAGCGAGCCAGCGCTCAGCTGGTGGCCGCAGTCCCTCAGCACCAACCGGCTCAGCACCGCCGCCACGTCCTCGGCGCGGCCACTGCCGCCACCCTGGCTCAGGTCCCCGATGCTGATGGATTTGGAGCGGGCCAGGTTGCTCCGTCGGCGCTCCGCCTCGCGCCCCGCCAGCGAGGCCCCAGCGGGCAGGGAGAAGGAGGCGCTGCCCAGCACAGCACCCGCCTGCGGAGAGCCGGGCACCCGCACCGCATGGTCCGCCTTCACGGGCCCCCGCCGGCACGCCGAGCCACGGAGAGCCTCCCCCCGTTTCGAGGCCCGACCCCGGTCCAGCTCCAGCTTCTTGCCACGGTCATCCAGTGGGCTGGGCCGGGGCGGCAGAAGGCGAAGCTTGGGGGCCGGGGAGAGCCCGTTGGCGGCGGCGGTGGAGGCCAGGGTGGCAGCATGGCGCTCCTGGCTCAGGGCCCGGTGCCCGCTGGGCAGCTTGGCAGCAGCCTTGGGCTGGGAGGTGACAACAGTGTGGTCTCTGGCCCGGCCGACACGGTGCTCCGAGGCTTGGGGCATCGTGGGGACGGCCGAGAGGGGAGCCCTGCGGGGAGAGGGACCAGGCTGATGCCGGCAGTGCCAGGCCAGCACCTGGGGACACTGAGCCACGCACCCACCTCTCGCCGCACCTCTGTCTGCCAGCACTGCTCACAGCCCCCAGCGGCAAGCGGCCAGCTGGAGAGTCCCGTCAGCAGGGGCCCTACGGCACAAGAAGAGATGCTCCAGGTCACCGGACGGGACCGGGGGACCCCACGGCCACCTTTGCCCGGATGCCGCAGCACCAAGGGGGAGGCGAGCGCTGTGCTGTGCTTCCCAAGCCGGTGGGCGAGTCACAGAGGTGCTTGGCACCACCGGCAGCGGGTTCCTCCCGCCTGCCCGCTCTGGACTCTGCCAAAACACCGCTTGGTGCGGCCGGGCTCTGCCGAAACACTGCTCGGTGCAGCCGGGCTCTGCCGAAACACTGCTCGGTGCGGCCGGGTGCCGAGGCAGCCGTCTCCCGGCTCCTGCTCCGCGGGGGCACCTGGCGCTGAGTGGTGCAGGCCCCGTGCGGAGGCTGCCGGTGCTCGGTGCCCCGGGGGGGCTCAGCGGCCATGCCTGTCCCCGGAGAGCGGCTGGGGCGGCTCGGTGGGGGCTCTGTCCCGGGCGCCGGCCGGCTGGGCTCCGGCAGGGAACGGCCTTCCCGCTGCGGGTGCGGCGGG